TACCCGATTGCTTCTTAACTGCTTTTTACCCGAAACAAGAACTGTGTTGTATGAAGACAAAAGCAGCAACTACAACTGAAAAAGGCAGTGTTTGCACTTCTGAGACAGTGAGAATGAATGCAGGTTAGAATAAAGGAAGTATCATCTGAGAAGAAAATAAATCAGACTGCTTAACACAGACTGGTAAGGAGGTTGCATCAGATGCTATTTAAGAAAGAACAAACTGCACAGGACCTTCAAGGTTCTCTGATAGCAATGTAATTGTTTTCTTCAGCTTATAGTGTGAGACTTCTGTGCCCCTTATAAGGGTTGTAAAGCTCGATGCACTCAGACTGAGGGAAGCCTAGCCTGTTGTCCACAGATCTGCTGTGTGAGAATAAATTGACAGTAGGCTTTAGATCTAGTGAACTTCTTTAGTGTCTGCAGTGTGGGCAGGGAAGTTGCAGTGAGTGGCATGGTCTGGTCTGGCAGTCCCTTTCTTCCTCTTGGAGTTCTTGAGGCCCCGTGTGGACATAAAACTTCAAGTAACAAGGTAGTGGTTTGTGCTGGTGTAGGACTAGACTTCTCTATAAAGGTCCTTCCCTGCTCAAGTGCTACACTCCTAAATGGGCTTTTAAGAATTTTGATTAATATTTAGTTTTCTGCTTAATGCTATATATGTGTGGACTGAGGTGTTACTACTATGATTTTTAAAAAAATAACTGATGTGTTCTTGTTCATGCTAACAAATACAAAGCTGATACAACAGACGTGTTGAGAATTTTTTTGCACAGTTAAGGCTCCACATGGTCTTTGCTGCTTGTAGCTTATAATTAACTCTGCAAAACAATTACAAAGCATTAAGAGCATAATTTACCCTGGAACATTCTCCTGCCAGAAGGTTGTGATCTCTTACAGTGACAGCTTACTGGTGCTGTGTTGACACACAAATCACCCTTACAAATGATGAGTGGGCTATGCTATCAAATATTTGCCTTCCTTCAATATTTGTAGGATGGGAATGTGAAATGTAAGTGCATTTGCTTCTCACCTGTAATCTATACTATGGAAGTAGAGTATATGTAGTTCCCCAAACAGACTTGAATCTGTCAAGTCACTTTTTGAATTTCTAAACACATTGTTCTTGTTTTCATTTTGTTTTCTACTGCTAGTTTGCAGCAGAGCACTGTTCTTTAGGTCTAAACTCACACTTACGGTGCTAAAACAATTGAAACTTCTTCAATGATAATGTAATTCTCTTGACTGCAGGAACTGGGAGTAATAAGAAAAATGTAAATCAACTTTTACACAATAAAGCTGACTTGGCAAAAATGGGTGTGTGGAGGAATGGCAAGCCAGAGCAGGATGAGTTAAGGCAGATTAATTATGGAAGACAAGCTGCCTAATTTTATACTTCTAATGCATATTACTGTAGTTGATATGAGAATGCTGTATTGAGGCCACTTGGAAATACATACTACCAAAATTCATGGTAGTTCTTCTCTTAACATCTTGTGAACTTGTGTTTCTGCTGAAGTGCACTTGAAAGCAGAGTAGGAATGTCTGGGCCAGAAACTTCCTTGAGAGATAAACTCCTTCTTATTCTACTCTGTACTGACCTCATTGATGTTACAGGTTATTCAGAAAGTGAATCAGATCAGACTTGCACTGCATTGATAATTAATGAGGTTAGAGGCAGAAGACAACACATAAGCACATGCTGTGTTGAAATGAAACAGACAAAAGAACTTTTCTAAGTACCTCATGTTTGGGAGGTAGAAAACTTTATATTTGAAGTTGCCCATGGCAGTGTAAGCCCATAGGATAAGGTAAGTGGAAATGAAAAATAATTGCAGCTAGCAGTATTTCTCCTTAGGGGCTCATATTGACAAGGAAAATAAGAATCATATTTTTAAAAGAAGGTGAACTGTTCTTGCAGTCAGCGTTTGGTGGTAAGATCTTAAGCCTCTGTAGCTCTACTGTATGTCCAAAGTGTGCAAGGCTGCCATGAATGTCACAGTGTGTGCACGCACCTAGGCTGCCTCCAGTTATGAGGTGATGCAGTCTTAAACTTCAGTTCCATTTTAGAAAAAGATGAATAATGAAGCTCTCATATTACAGAAAAATCAATGCAGGAAAGAAGAGCTAGTTAAACACAACTCCTGTGCCAATCCGAGTTATGTTTGCTGTGACCAGGAAATGGCTATGCTTAGGAGTGACAGGCATGTAATAGCAATGGACCTGCATCCTGCAGTTCTTTCTTTCTTTTCTTCCTCTTGTTCTTGTCTGATTGAGCATCCATTTTATTATGGAGAACTCCTTGTTCCAGACCTGGAATCTGAATCCATAATCTTCCTGCGTTTAGGGTAAGGGTGATTGCAGTCTGCTTCATTCTGTATGATGTGTCTGCTGAGCTCTAGGTGAGTCTCTGGTGCCTTCCTGCTGGTGTAGCAGCATCTGTGTGTGCAGCACAGATGGGTCCTCCTGGGATGTGGCTGGGTTCTCAGGGCAGACATGACCTGTGGTTTTCTTGTCTCTCTATTCATGTTTGCTTGTGCAGCATGTTCTCAGACAGGGTCTGCAGAATCCTCTGATGTATTGGTGGAGTCAGTTTTAGGTGTTGATGATAAACTCATGTAGAAGTGGTGCTCTTGAAACCCGTGGTGTAAGTCAGTGCAACTGGTTGATAGCTGCTGAAGCTGGAGATTAAAAGGATCTGTGATTCTGAAGTACTTTTATGTGAGTGTCTTGAGTGGCCAGATTGCTTACCAAACCCTGCTGGGAGTTTCTCCTCTCAGAGGGTAAGGTTTGTGCCTTCAGCTTTCGACTAAACAATTAATCTTTCGAGGCACAGTAGCTTCATTCCTTATCTATTCAAATTTGCTTCTTACTCAGCAACAGTTCAGTCACTAGATACCTGCTTTGAGCTGGAGTGTTCTCGAAATGTTTAAGTTGTGCAACGTTAGTGTAGGGAGGAATGCTGCACAGCCTGTCAGTCCAGCGCTAGGTTGAGCTTACTCTCCTCAGAACTCTGCATTTGCAGTTACAACCTCACTGAATCCAAATCCCCTGATAGGGAAGAATTCTGTGGGATTCGCAGTGTGCTTTAGTGGCTGTCAGCAGTGTGCTTGCCTTTTTTTCTTAAGTCACTCTCAGTTTTAATCTGCAGCAGTTTGTGTTGAGTATTATAAATATGTCCTTTTTTCTTCTTCCTTATAGAGTTGGCTTTCTCCTTACTAGTGCAGTCACCTGGAATTAATGTCCTTTCCCCAAGGCAAGGGTAGATATACAAAAATTATTCCACCTTACCCATTAAAAGATATCTTTTGCATAATTCTGTATTGCATTATTTCCACCTCAAGATGTAACTGATTTCTTTATTCATATAAACCAAAGTATATAGCAAGGTTGTTCATCTCTAACAAGAGTTCAGAAATGGGTGAGAGGCATCTTGTTTTTCGTTCAAATGTATCAAATGATTGGGGCCACTTTGGAGTGGGATTGTTTGTTTTTCACTAAGATCATTAGCAATCCAGACTTGTAGGTTAAGAATAGCTTAAAAATGCAATAATTTGTGTGCTGTTTAGATGTTTTAAAACTTCAAAAAGGTCTTATAAATTCAAGAACTGCATAGCCTGACTTCTGCTGGAAGAAATAATGTAGCACTCTATTCTACTTGGTACCATAGGAGTAACTACTTGTAGTTCATAACTTACTGTGCCCAGTTCCAGGCTCTCCAGCACCATCCAGAAGGATGTGGACTTACTGAAGCAAATCCAGTGAGGGGCCATGAGGATGTTTATGGGCTTGGAGTGTCTGATGTGCAGGAGAGGTTGAGAGAGATGGGATTATGCAGCTTCTGAAAGAGACAGCTCTGGATTTTAGCAATGTACCTGGTGAGGAGGTAAAAAAGATGGAGTCAGACTCTTTCTGTGATGCAGAGAGAGGGCAAGAGGTAGTGGTTGCAAATTCAAACATGGGAAATTCCATTTAAAGGTAAGAAAACCTTTTTACAGTGAGGGCCATCAAACATGGGAGTGTGTTGCCCAGTGTGGTGATAGTCTCTGTCCTTGAAGATGCTGAAAACCCAGCTGGATGTGGCTCTGAGCAGCCTGATTTGAGCAGGTGAGTTGGACTACAGATATGCAGAGGTCCCTTCCAACCTCAGCTAATCTGTGATCGTCTCATTACATAGTTAACAGTGTTTCGTGTAGGTTTGTGCCAGTGCTCTGTATGCTAATTAGTCACTTAATTAAGAGCTAAGGTATACATACACATCACTGGTTTCTGTTAAGTGCCTTGTCTGAATTCTCTCTCTGTGTTTATTCTGGCATATGCTAACTGCCAAGAAGTGTTACTGACCCAATGCTTATTTTATATTTCAAAGTATTTCTGCTGCTTGAAATGTCTTGTATGAAAAATGATTTTCCTTGTCAGGTTTTTATATTACTTTCCGATCCTACAATATTCCATAATTTCTCCTTTTATAGTAACGTAAAATCCTTTAATACCTTGCTAGGTCATGTTGGTTTTAAGTTTTCAACAAATTTTTCAGACGCATCAATTTTGAGCCTTCCTACTCCAGTGAGTTTATGTCCCTAGTCCTTAAATATAAAAATATATCACTTTGAAAAAAAATAAATTTGAAGTACTTTGAAATTTGCTCTGTTTTTGTAAAAATATCCTTTAAATGTCTTAATATTTTTGTAGTTATATTTTTAGCTATTCTAGCTGTTCTATGCAAGACAATTTTTGTCCACTGAAGACTTTGCCACTGACTAATAAATTCCTTCTCTGTATCCTTCAGCTGCTCATGAAATTGTGCTGTTGCAAGGGAAAGATGTCTAATTCTGTAGTGATATGTACTAAGTCACCTTAGGCATGAAATTAATTGAGGTTGCTTTAGATGATAGGCAAGTTATGCAGTAACCACTACTATTCTTGTGGCTATAATTGCACTGATGGTTTGAGGGAGTAGGTGGTAGCTCAGTAATGCTCAAACTTGCTGCTTTACCTTTCAGAGCTGTTGAGCCCCAGAGCGAGGGACAGTGTGCCCCAGTGGATTCCCTGTGGAGACGTTACAGTGAATTTGAGCTGTTGAGGAATTACTTGTCAGTTACTTACCCACATATTGTTGTTCCACCTTTGCCAGAAAAACGGGTAAGGAAACTGAGGCTGCAGCTTGCTTTGTGTTGTTTGTGATTTGTTTACTATTGACGTTCTTCTGTTTAACTAGGCTGACTTTGTTTGGCATAAGCTATCAGCAGATAACATGGATCCGGATTTCGTGGAAAGAAGAAGAATTGGTTTGGAAAACTTCTTGTTACGTGTGGCTTCACATCCTGTACTTTGCCAAGACAAAATCTTTTATTCCTTTTTAACACAGGTATAGTAAAGTTATTCTAAATACATTATTTAGTGAGTATTTATTTAAGATCATGTCCTTTTGCTCTTCTTCCCTCCTGTTGACCCATAGCTTGTTCTGTGTCAAGAGGAAGGACAGGCAATGTGAATAAACTTGAGGTGGAAAAGGCTTGTCCAGCTAAAAGCTTCTTAACAGCTCACTGCAGTTGTACAGTTGCCTTTCTAATGTACCTTATGACTTTTTTCCAGTCAGGTTTTAAGGCTCCTAGGAGAGAATTTCCACCTCTTTGGAACAGCATATTGGGAACTTAATGCATGTTGGTTGGGAATGCTTCCCGAGATCTAAAGCTGAAATAGCATGCTGTACTGCTGGCTGCAGAGACAGTACTGGCTTCCAATTCACTTTTTGCATATCCATGCTTGCTTTAGCTTTGCAGTTTGGATCATGACTCGTTTGTATGTGTCATGGTCCAAAATCAGTATAATGCATTGTCACGAACGTTGTGGTCCGGTTGTCAGCTTAAGCATTGCTTTCAGCTCAAGGGAATGTTTGATGTTTCTGTTTTCTGTGCTTTCATGAGAGGTTCTCAAATAGTGGACTGAGCAGCTGTGTTTGCCACAGCACAGTGTAGTGTGTAGGTGAACCAATGCATGGGAGCTGAAAACATTGGAAAACCAACCACTACACCTGAGTGAGGTGAGGGCATGTGCACTGCAAACAGTTCTCACATGTATGTTCTCTGTATGTACTCTGCCTTGAGCTGCAAAGGTCCTTGGAGCTGCTGATAATCTCATAGGCAATTGGTGGTAGCTACCTTCTAAAGAGCTGAGCTGCTTCTTTGGACAAAGCTGTGTGGCTCCTGCTTCAGTTCATAGAATTGAATAGTGAAGAGAAGAGGGTTTTGGGGGGGAGATTAGTATGTAAACATAACATAATGATTGGTTGTTCTTAACCCAGACTCTAGAAAAGACATGGGGAGGATAGCTGAGGCAGGAGCCAGGCTTACTGGAGAAGCTTTTCTGGTACAGGCTCTCATATAGGGACTTGTAAAAGCTGCAGCATTCTTAAATCACTCTAATTGAACATCCTTTTCCTGTATTTTTAGGAAGGTGGATGGAAAGAAATGGTGAATGAGACTGGATTTCAGTTAAAGGTAACTACTGTCATTGTTTGTCTCATGACTGCTGTGACACAGAGATATTCCAGCAAACATGTTTTAAGCTATTTATGAAAGGCTGTTTGCTATAAGAATGAGTTAAAGGCATTGCTTGATGTATACTTGTAACTACAGAAAGCAGGGATGTTCTTGGCATGTGATAGGTAGGACTTCAGTTGTTCTCTAGAAGGCTTGTTATGTGCCTTTGTAATTCTGCTAGTAATGTAGAATTATGATCCTCATAAGTTTTAAAACTAATGAGCTTGAGCCCAGAGCAGTGCTCAGTTATGTTGTCAGTTTAGTTTAGCATTGTTTTAAAGACAAGTGTCTTAGCCTGGTAAGAGGTGCAAGGTATCAAAAAAATCAAAAAAAGGATAAGCAAAGAGGTCTGAATTGTAGGGTTTCTTTACAAGGAGAAGTTGCTGACAGGGACTGAGACAGATTTGGTGCCCCTTAACTGTTTAACAGAATGTGTCTTGAAGTAATACTATCCCCATTGACATCAGTGAGTTCATGGCTGGGTAAACTGGTGGAAGACTTGCAGGAATAAATGATCAAAGGTCATGTGTCTGTACAGGACAAGAATCTGAGAAGCTGATAGATTGCTGTGCTGTGTCTGGAAGAATTACTATATGGGGACAAATACTGAGCTTTTTGTTTCATTGTAATGTGATCTGCTCTGGTGAAATCACAACTGAAAACTAGGTGGATTATGAAGAATTATTCTAAATAGTGAGAGCTAAAGAAAATCACTGGTGCTCTTATCCTCAGTGTCCAAGGGGCTTTGACACTGACGCTGTTGATAACTGAAGTTGACAATAATTCTCTTCCAACACAGTGGGGTTTGCATATTGCTCCTATTCATAATGCAAACAATGTAAAGTTCTGAAGCTGTGTGTTCCTGGTCAGCACATCTTTATTTCAGCTTACACTCACAGGAGTTCAGAAAGTTTGTACTGGCAGGGTATGTTCAGGAGTTCACACAGTGTTGTGTGCATGGAACAAAACTCACAGCAGAATACTGAAAATATTTGCCTACCTGAAACCACATTGTAGATTAAATGGAGATGAGAAGTCCTGCTTACTTTCTAGATTTTGGTGTGTATAGTTCTCTTTTACAGTTCTGTTTCCTTAAGGAAGAAAATAACTTGAAAAAGCTTGGAAGAAAGTATCTTCCTTTATTCTGCATCTGAAGTATAAAACCTCAAAATTTAGCACTATGCTGGAGGAAAAATCCTCTATTCACTGCATGTCTTAGGCTGGAATCAGACCACTGGTTTACATGTAGCTGCTGCTTCTGCTGCATTAAAGCAGGGTGTGTCTTTTGTCTGAAAGGGTTTGAACCAGGCTAACTAAGCTTTAAATTAGGCATTAATGCAGTGTAGCATGTTACAGCTGAATGTTGATGTTGGAGACTTTGTTTGTTCTGCCAACTGTGTCATTAAATCATGCATTTCCTCCCTCCCACCCCCAGCACTTAATTTTATATTTAAGGGATTTGTCACTTGGGATTTTATCCCTTCCTTTAGGAAAGAGAAAATTCCTCTCTCTCTTCAGTTTACTTAAATGATTATGGGATCATAGTAGGAATTAAATGTCTGAAAATGCCTCAACTGTACCTCATTTGATGGGGAGTTCAACTCTAAAATGCTTGTATGTATTAGTCTTAAATCAATTTTAAGACTGGACAGACATTTTTCTAGAATCCTAACTGGTGCAAATGCTCAAAAGTGGTGTGTGGGAGTTACTGTGCTGCGATTGCAAGAAGGAAATAATCCTACTGAGATGGTTGAGCATTAGCAGGATTGTGCTTCCTGCCTCACAGTGCTTGTATGCTTCCTGAACTCTTCCTTCAGAGCACTGCATGTGTCTGTGACAAAAGACAAAAACTCGCCCTGTTAAGTGTAAGGTGGGAAGTGATCCTTTCCCAATGTAAACCTGGGAATGTGTATGCTGTCCCAGCAGATTCTAATGCATTTAGTGCCTGCTGTTTGAACATGAATACAGCGTTTTCTGAAATGGCTGTTCAGAGGAAAGGACTCTGAGAGTGTCAGTGTATATAGGTGGTGCTTGTTCTGTGAGAAAAGGTGTGAGGAGTACACACAGATGCATGTGAACAACCCAAAATTTAACTGGCTTGTGTATTGACTTGTTGGGGTATAGCAGTGGAGGTCCAAGACCATACAAGCCTGTGAAACACTCTGAATAACATAAAGGCTGGGACTTGGTATCTTGGCCATGCTTCCCCATGCTGCCTTGTCTTGCCTTCTTTTCTTAGAGAAGTGCCACATGTGCTGGTGACAATGAACCTGGTTTCTTCCAATGTCAGTCAGTCTTAGTCTTGGGGATTTTGTTTGCTTACCTTTTGGTTTGTGGACTATGTTTCATATTGGTGGTTTGGTAATTGGAAGGACAGCTAAAGTTAACCTACTTCTGCCAAGTCCACCACTAAACCGTGTCCCTGAGTGCCACATCAATGTGTCTTTTAAACACCTCCAGGGGTGGTGACTTGGGCACTTCCCTGGGCAGCCTGATCCAGCACTTGACAACCTTTCTGGTAAAGAAATTTTTCCTAGCATCCAATCCAAACTTCCCCTGTTGCAACTTGAGGCCATTTCCTTTTGTCCTGTTACTTGTTACAAGGGAGAAGAGACCAAGCTCCACCTCACTATGACCTCCTTTCAGGTAGTTGTAGAGAGCAATAAGGTCTCCCCTGACCTTCCTTTTCTCCAGGCTGGGTATGGGGTATCTTCTGCTCTGCCCAAATACAGTGGGAGGTGAAACAGTCTCAAACTGTGCCTGTCTCATCTGTAGAGGTTATTTCGAGGGCCCTGAAGGAAGGACTCTGTTCTTGGTTTGGGAAAACACTGTGTTCCCTTCACTGTCAAATTCAAAATAGCTCTCCAAGCTCTGAGTTGGCTGTAATAGTGCACAAAATATCCCTGTCTTATATCAGCACTAACAAGTACTGCTGAAGTAACTCACTGCTTGCAGTTGTGGCACAGCCTGTTAGCTCAAGGAGTCCACGATAGGAAATCTATACATCCTGCAAGATGTGCTTCTATAATTTTTTTATTGAAAAGAAGGATGTTTTGATCAAAAGTAAACTCCAGCCATTTACCCAGAGTTGAAGTTTTCATGCAGCCCTGAGAGATCTGTGTGTGAAGTGCATCATAGAAACGAAGGCTTGTAGTGGTGTGGGACCTCTGTGGATGATGTTGGGATCTCTTGTTTGCATTGGTGCCTTATTAAGAGTAAATCTCCATTGCACAGTTTAATATTCAATTAAACTGGGAAAAAAAACCTTAGGAAGGTTCCATACTGCCGTTGCAGTAATTGGTAAAGCAACATCTCAAAAATTAAAGCAGCAAATTGCCTTCTTAATTAGGCATTGAACTTTATTCTGTAGAGATTTATATATGCTCTGCTATAGAGAAGAACATTGCATTAAAAATGGCTCTATTCTGATATACAAATTACATATTTTCTGTAAAACAAGTCATAAAATAAGAGAACACCATATATAGGATTTTGATTTCACTGGGGAACTGTTCCTAGTAATAAAGAGCATATAGAGGTCACTCTACCACTGGTTTTATTTGGTTTGAAAAATATAAAATAGCTTGTCCATATGGTCTTGTGTTACCTAATTGCTTCATCTAAAAAGAATGTAGGGTTGTGTATCATAACTCCATGATTTGTGTAGCATTTTCAGAAGGGACTATTTTTGTGGGATTTGGATTATACCAGTTTAATTTTAGTGGTTACTGTTGGCATCATATTCACAAAAATAGCTTCGATTTTTGATTTTTTAATAACAGTATCTGACATGCAGAGCAGCTAGTGTCAACTTGTTCAATGTTTGAAGATTTAAGTATGCCAAGAAGCAGGATTTTTTTCTAATGGTGATGCCAGAAGGCTGAGGTTTTTTTGTCACTGAAATTTAATTGCATTAAATTAACAAAGCTTTTTTTTCCCCCCTTTTCAGGCAGATTCCAGATTAAAAGCTCTTAATGCAACATTCAGAGTGAAAAATCCAGACAAGTAAGATTTCACATCCTTCTTCCCTCCCTTTCCCTTTTTCAGTTACAACTGTATCTTCAGGTGACAGAATATTCTATCTCTTTAGTATAACTTCAGAAAAGAAAAATTATCTTTCTGCACTTCAGATCTTAGCAGAAGCCCAGTAAGGAGGCAGTGTGAAGAGGCTTGATGAATCCTGTTTCTAGGGGCAGGAAATGTTCAGAAAAATTCCATCACTTTATGCAGAACAAGTATTTCATTTTAGATACACTAAAAGGAGTGGAAAAAGAAACCCCAAGCCACACTCAGCAGAAGAACCTCTCAATATTTGTTTGCAAAGAAATCTTTCGAAGTGTGAACAGAATACAGACTGATACTAGGTCTTTCCAAAAATTTGCTAGTGTACAGTTCTGGATGCTCACACTCTGGTTTTTGCAGTTCATAGTTCTCTTCAAGCTGCCAATTTTCACAGATGCTTTTGGAAATCAGAGGTCAGTTCAGCTCTGCTGCAGTTTAGGAAGCTCTGGGACAGGCACTAGAGCAATTTGCTGGATTGAAAAACTGCTCAGAATTGCCAGGGTATGTAGTGGGAGGTTCATCACACCCTGGGTGATGTGGAAAGGGTAAAGTCAGAGTTTCTAGTTCTGCAATAGTTAGAAACATCAGTGTGTGGTGATAGGGCCAAGAGATGTTGCTGTTTGCTATCTATAAGCCACGGAGACCTGTGCAAAATGTCCTTCTGGGTTCATCTGTTGTCCAATAGTGGCAATAGGAGATGCTATTTATGGAGAGCCCACGTGCCTGACTGCTTTCTGTTGTCTGCTACCTTTGTACTTACATACAATCTGTGGGTATTGTACTGAGGATGTCAGAGGGTACACACCTTTCTGAAACTCCTTACAGACTTAGCTGTGAATTGGTCCAGTCCTTCCTTTTTTATTGTGCTTGCTTTCACAGCCTTCTGTGGCAGCAAGGGAAGCTTTTAGCTGGGATTTAATATAAAAGACAACAGTCACGAATGAGATCAGAAGGCAGAAATTCTCTCTGTACCTGTAGGTGAAATTGACTCCTTGTTTGAATACTTCATCCTCAGTCATCTTCCTCTGTGGCCAGTAGGAGTTAGCTTTTCCTGCTCTCACTGCAGGTGAGCTTTGCCAGAAGTTTGACTGTAGGCATAGGTGGGCAAGAATGTTTAACGCTGAGGTGAGGAATATCCTGTTATGTTTTGAGGTAGTGATGTTTCAGAAAGCAAAGCAGTTGTGAGAAGTGGCTTGTTAAAAAGCAGGAAAAGAGTTAATACAAGGAAAACATGAGAAAGTACTTGTAACAAATACAGTCCCCAAGTGTCTGTCTCTAGAGCCTTCACAGTGGTTAAGAGATATGGCACATGTTTTCTGTTGTATTCTGCTGGCTACACAGCTTCCCAAATGAGCTTGGGAATGCAAGTTGTTTAATAAATAACTGATGAGCAGAAGTTGTTGGGTTTTCCTGTGGTTTTTTGTGTTGCTTTTTTCAAAATTCAGAGAGAGCCTTTTAAAACAGCATGTGTGGCTCTAACAGGAGGGATAGTGCCTTGATCTGCCTGGCTTGAGCTGCCTGGAATGTGCTGCCTTGCCCCTCTGCCTTACCTTCGGTGCTTGTATGGCTGGGTGGTAAAGTGTGAACTTACCTTGATGAAAAAAAAGGTGTGACTGCTGTGTGGAGTGCAGGTTTTCAGGTTCCTGGATCAGGAGAGGTTCAGGTGAAGAATAGCTGCAGCTCCCAGCCTGGATTGCCTTGCCATCCTGTGGAGCTGCATCCTTTAACTTAGCAAGGTGAGGAGCTTTATACAGTGTTCTTTGGGGTCAAATGTAGACTGGAAACTAAACCTTCTCCTGTGAGAAGCAACTAACATTTTTAATGGTGGAATTAAATGGTGATGGAAACCTATTCTGGTGCTCAGAGGTAATTTTGTGTCTACTGCAGGCCTCTGATTCAGCCTCATGGCCCCCATCCTTTTGTTCTCTTTCTGGGCTTTAAAAACTAGAGCTTTTTATTTTGATGAAAGATTTCTTTAGAAAACACTAAATCCTTTCCTAAGGCAGTTTTTTTTTTTTTTTTTATTTTTAAAGTAGCTTTCTGGGCTTTTTTTGTCTGGTTACTCAGTTGAGTGGTTTGTTCTTAGTGAACAGTCCTGTTCTTGTAGTATCTCCTTCACTAAACAGGAGACTGGGCTTTAAAAACTAGAGCTTTTTATTTTGATGAAAGATTTCTTTAGAAAACACTAAATCCTTTCCTAAGGCAGTTTTTTTTTTTTTTTTTATTTTTAAAGTAGCTTTCTGGGCTTTTTTTGTCTGGTTACTCAGTTGAGTGGTTTGTTCTTAGTGAACAGTCCTGTTCTTGTAGTATCTCCTTCACTAAACAGGAGAATGGTACTGCCCGATGCAGGCATTTTTTTTGCTAAGATGCACGAAGTAAATAAATTGTACTGAAATGCTGCCTATCATAAAGGAAATTTTCTTCTTTGCCAGTATCATAAAAGATATTTCTAAGAGACCTGCTGGTGTTCTTACACCAATGTGACCTGATCAGTCCTTCATTTGTGTCTCAAGTTCTATTTAGTAGCTCAATTAAGTATCTAGACTGTTGGTAATGCTGCAGAACCAGTAAAACCAAGTGAAAAGTGCTATTTAAAAAGACCTCAGTACCTGAGTGCCAAAACTGAGTCTTGTTTCATGCTTCTGCTGTTATGATGCACTGGAAAGTAAAAATTCCTTTGTATGCCTCACTGAACTCAGTTTGAAAATTACTTTATAATTATGTAAATTTTTTTACATGAGCAATGAGTAGGACTTAAGTCCTACTTGAGGAATAAACCTTTGATCTGGAACGTCATCACCCTCTTAAAAACAGTTTTTCCTGAAAATTACATTTGTAAAATTTTCAACCTTCACAGAAGATTGGGAATAAAATATCAGCACTTTGGTTTATGCTTTTCTGGAACAATAAAAAGAAGACAGTTTGGTTCTGAAGTAGGAATTTTTTTAAAATGATGTTATTTTTAATAGAGGAATTGGTATAGGAGAAGATGTATTGCTGCTGGAGTCTAGGGTACTGAAAGTCCTCTCAGGCTCCTGACTCTTGCCTTCAGGGAGTACAGCATTCCTAAAAGATTTCTTGCCACAGAACAGGATAAATAAAACTCTTCATTATAAATTTCTGGAGTGGAAAGGGGAGTCTTCCTGAGCTGAAGGCATGCTCCTTAATCTTTTGTTTTTAGTTCAATTATTTCAAGTATCTTCACTGTTCGTGTCTGCAGCTGTCTGACATGCAGCCCTGGTGCATATTTTATAAAGTGTAAACTGAAAAGATTGCTCTCTAAATCCCACTGCGCAGATCAGTGACTATATTTATTTTTCCCATACAGTTTCTCTGCTAGCTTTTAAATCTTTTTATGTACTTTAACCCTGTGTGTGTCGTAATCTTATAAAAGATGCCTCTTGGAAATCAAAAATATTAGAAATTGTAATAAAGCTTCTACATCCTGAATGTAAGGATGAGAATGTTTTTGGGAAAGACTTCCTGGCAGGGGAGGAAGAGGTGTTAAATGAAAACCCCTGGAATTTCATATTCAATCACCCCAAACAAGTGACCCGACTCATTTCAGTAAGACCTCTTGGGTACAAGCTATTCCAAAACACAAAGCCTGACTGTATGCCTGTGGTGGGAGGAGGGATGAAGTGGGTTTTTTTCATTCTTGAGCGTCAAACTAGAAGACTAATCTTAGTCTCCCATTCCTTAATTCTAGTTGCATTCCTCTGTGTTTATTTATATTCAGTTCATTGTTTAGTAATTTAGGTAGCAGTTTCTGGTTTCCCATCTGGATGAAATAAATACATGTACCAAAGTAGGTCATGGTTAGACTTGTGTGTACTAGGAAGGGTTTACATGTACACAGGAGGCTGTTGCTGTGGCTTAATTGGTTACCTGTCACTAGCAAAGCTGTGGCAAAGGATTCATCTTAGTCATTAGCTAAAGGTATCAGCTTAAACTACCTCCAAGGCTTGACCAGACTGGCTGATAACATGCCTCTTCTTCAGAAGTGACAGGCCAGCAGTGTGCACATGATCACTTGTGATGGGTTACCTGCCTGGTACCTTGTTAAGCTGTAGTGGTTTGATGGCTTTTAACCATACATGACTCCTGTGCAGGTACAAGTCTCAGTAGGATTTCATATCTAATGTTACAGTTACTGTGCAGATTAGCCTTAGAGGAGTTGTGGTAGTTGTGAATGCTTCCTTGAACTCCTGGAAAGCTATGCCCAAAACTGGCTCTATGGCAGCTTGGAGGTAAAGTATCTTCGTCAAGTCAGAAATGTGAACGTGTTTTTATTAAGAAATGTGCTGCAGAAGATTTTGGCTTTGTGCTTACTTGAAGCTTTCCTGTTCACCAATGTTTGATTTCTGTAAATCCCATGAATAAACTTTATGAATAAAGTTTTCTCTTAAATTGATCTGAGCCTTCACATTTGCATATTAAAAATAGCAGTTATGTAAGTGTTGGGTTGTTCACTTCTGGGAAATTAAACTCTGCAGTCCCTTCTTTAGGAGTCTTCAGCTAGTTCCACTCCAGCACAGTCCAGGCTCTGTCTCCTGGCTGTGGCATTGTGGCTCTATCATGCTGTGAAAGTTTGCTTTCATGATGGCTAATGATGTACTATCTGTTTCCTGCTCCCAGGAGATTTACTGAGCTAAAACACTATAGCGATGAACTGCAGTCTGTCATATCACACCTTCTGCGAGTCAGAGCTGTAAGTATTTCCCATGTGTGTCGTGACAAATAGTATGATTTATTTATAAGGCAGTATTTCTTGTATAGGCAAAAGAAGTGGTGTATGTGTTCTAGAATAAGGGCGGTTTTGCCTGAAGGAGTCTGTCTCTGGAGTGTGGAGTGGGAGACAGCAAGGGGTGGAGGCACTGACTTTGTACAGATTTGGGAGGGGGGAAGAGTTCCAGATAGGATGGTTGAGTTTGACAGTGCATGTGGCTGATCTGCTCTCTCCTGCCATGGTCACATATCACAGTGAAGTGTGTTAGAGAGGCTCAAGGTGTCTGCCTCTCTCTGCTCAGCAAAGGAGTTGCTTTTGCTGGATGGCTGGGCTGGGAAGGGCCCCAAAACACTATTTTTTGTTCAGACATATAATAGTTTGTTTTCCAGACCTTGGAGTATGAATCCTGTGTGCTTCCCAGTATGCATTTTCTTCTTTTGCCTTATTGTTTGATCTGTGATGTATAATAGTCTTTCTAATGATGAGAATAATTATGTCATGCATCAGGACACTTTATGGGATTGAGAGTAGAAGATTTGTTGGATTTTTAAGTCACAAAAAGGAAATAGGAAATTACAGTTCCAATAATGAGAGCATGATACTTCTTTTTAGTGTGTTCAATGGGGATTTAACTGCAGATGGAAACTGTGTGGCAGAGAGGATGGTAATGGATTGCCCTGATGAGCCAAGGTTCTTGAGAGGATTAATCACTGGTGTTCTACAGACAGTCCTGTTTCCTCAGGGCTGTGTGTGTGAGATCTGTTGGGCAATTTGCTCTTGTTCCCTTTTTAGTGCTATGACTGACCTGTAATGGCAGCTCTTGCAGAACTTCACTCATTCATTTGGCACATCATGATTCCAAGGGCATTAGCTGGATTACAACTCACATTTCAGTGTGTACATGTCTTTTCTTCTGAAGGTGCTGCCAGCATTGTAGTGTGGCTGCAGCAGGTACTGGTGCTCCAAACAGCTGAAATGACAAGTTCTGCAATAGATAGCTTATTTCCTTTCCCTCGGTGCACTGAACTGGATGAAAAAAATCAAGTCAATTGTTTGAATTTTGCTGAAGGTTTCCCTAAAATCTTGATGTCAGGATGGACTTGTCTTGCCATCTGGAAGTTAAATGAACAGGTGTGCTTGTAAATTTGGCATTATTTGGATAAAGGATGCTTTATATTTGGTTATCAAAAACTGAAGGTAACTTGGCTATTTACGGTCTCCATAGGTATATCCTATAAATGATCACTTCCAAAGAAACACTTGAAATGCCGCTTTTCACTATAGCTTTGATTGCAACTTCCATCTCCAAGACTTAATGCTGTTGATTTTTCTTTTAGAAGGGGCTTAGATTAGCTTTAGGCCTAATCTTGTTTACCTGTGTAAAACTATTGGGGCTTTAGCTTGAAGGTTGTGTGTGGATTTTCACAAAACAATTGCACTTAGTGTTGATGCCCAAAAACCTGACTCTCAAATGTTTTAGAGGGTAGCAGACCGGCTCTACGGTGTCTACAAAGTCCATGGCAACTATGGAAGAGTGTTCAGGTAAGAGCTTATTGGTTATGTTGCTATCCTTTTGAAAAGTATATTTGAAACACTTCATTGTCTATCTTGAAAAATTCGGTATTGCAGTGCTAATGAGACTAATGTGTTGCATACAGTGATCTCCAGGTCTGCTGAGCTCAGTCTCTAGCAGAAGACTTAAGCTTTCTGTTCTGTATGTCAGAGCTCTGGGCCTTTTGCTGCTGCATTGGCATCTTGTTTCCTCAGAAAGTAACTCACTATCTGTCTTCATGCATTTGTCTCTGAAAAGCTTCTAGATGCTTTTAATGGTTAAAAATCAACAATTATATCTATCCAATTTTAGTAGCTTTTAAAAGCGAATTTGCCAATCTTTTTTTTTTTTTGATTTATATGAGTGAATTGCATGCTCAAGTTTTCCATCTCACTGGAGAATTAAAGAATCTAAACTTCTGGTTAAGGGAAACCTCCTGCTTCTACACACTGTTCAAGTGCTAAATTTAATTCTCTGGGTTAATGGATTGCAGATGTCTTTCTCATTGGGGGTTTTAAAATGAAATTAGGTGTAGTTCTGTAATAACACAAAGACAAACAAATGCCAACATCAGCAGAGTGGAATGTTTATGAAAAAATGAAGGACAGAATAGATGCATTGCACATAAATTATGTGAAATATAAGGGAAGCCTCTCCTTTTGTCCTTGCAAATTCTTGTAACTGAGAAATCTTCTAAGGTTTTACAAAACTGAGAACACAATTATAATTGTAGTGTACATACCTGGATGTCCAGAACAAATCTTTTGCTATCTCTCTTGTAGCTCTGTTTCTTTCTTTATCTAAATAATTCCTCTAATGTAAATAGGTAGTTGCCGTAATGAGACCGTTACTAGTTCACTTTTGTTAGTGAACAGAACTGAACAGAAGTCTACTATGAAAACAGAAAGCTACAAACATCAAATGGTTTCAGGAGCAGTAAAATGCTTACAAAAGTCAAATCCCACTCTGGTTTTTGGAATGAGGGGCTTCTGTCTGATGTATTGTGAGTCTGGAAAGCTTAGTTTCTCCTGATGAGCATGTTGGACCAAAATCTGGTTAGGAAAGTTCATTGTTGTTCCCCATCCCCCAGTTCATATTAAGTGCTAGGTGGTTTGGGTTTGTTTGTATGGTGGTTTTTTTTCTTTTAAGTTGA